CATCCCTCCCGGCAAGTCCTTTATCCGTCGTCATCCTTCGCACCCGGGGAAACCCGGACGTTACTTTGTACACATCTAGGGAAGTGGCTAATGCCGACCTGGTCCGTCCGACGTAGGATTCCGCCGTTCTCCCTCCCGAAAGGGGAAAGAACCAATTCCGGTGGGAAGCGAGCGAGCCACCCGGTTTCCGGAAGGTCGGAGTCCGGGAAGAGGTCGGCGGCTCCGATCGATTCTTCGACCGCCGGAAAGAAGTCGACGTCCTTCTCTCCACCCGGTAACGTCGACGCTAAAAGCCCGGGGGAGGAAAGTTACCCGGACAACGACCACTCGGGCGCAGGGTCGACTCGACCGTAAAAGTCCACTAAAAATCGGGACGGAAGCAAAAAGTGGCGCTTTCCGCTTCCGGATCTTCCGCCGAAAAGAAAGGGCCATCTTCCCTCCTTCCCTCTTTCCCACTGGAATCGTCTTCTTCCGCTCGACCAGACAACTCGTCGTCTCCGAGAGGCCGCCGGCTCCCGCGGACGGCGGCGACCGAAGGATTTTTCCCACTCCCACCCTCCCGCGCGCCGTCCACCGGCGGGCCGCGGGGATCCGACGGTAGTCCCTCGGAGCGCGCGCCCGACGACCGAAACACCCTGGGTGCGGATCTTCCCCCGTCCGTCGAGAGGCGACGGTCGATCCCTTCCCAAAAGGGGGGGTCCGACGATGGCCGTCTTCCCCACGAACCTTCGGCGCAGAGTCCTCCGTCCGACCGGAGTGAGAAGGACGAGACGAAATTCCGACGCCCGAGGGTAGGGCCTCTTCTTTCGTTCCTTACCTCTGTCGGCCGTCTTCTTCCTCCGAAGCTCCTCCGCCGAACTGACGATTCACCGTATCTTTCCACCCGTCCGCCGCCTATCCTTCCGCCGCGAAAGTTAGTTCTTCCTTCGTACCGTTCTCGCCTCACGTTCCCTCTTGCCCGTCCCCTTCCCTTCCCGGGAGAAATCCGGGAAACCGGAAGAGGAAAGTGGCAGGAACCCTCCCCCTTCTCCGGCCCGGGACCCGCGGCGGATTCCGTAGCCACCGGCGGCGCGGCGCCGTTCGGCGTCGGGACGCCGGACCCGGGAACCGGTTCTCGGCCGGAGTCCCGTCCTCGGCCCCGAAGTAGCGCCGTGGCCGGTTCGGCTTTTACGCCGACTCGCAAATATCGTCGCGCCGAAAGATTTTCGGGCGGACGGATGGCGCGCGCCGACGGAACCAAAGCAAAAGACCTCGGGAGAAGGTGCGGGCGCGACTGAAAGTATTTGGCCGCCGCGATAAAGGAGCGGAAGGAGAAGCTTTCCGTTTGCGCTCGGAGAGGGAAGCGATAGAGACTCGACCGAAAACCATTGATAGATGCGGGACGGCAAGTAAATCGGGGAAGAGGAAAAAGTTTAAGGAGGAGACGGTGGAACGAGACGAAGGGCGCGTCGGAAGGTTTCTTCCGGACACGGGGAGAAGCGGCCGTCGCTCCCCGGGCCCGAGGGGCGAATTTCAAAACAAAATAAACGGCGGAATTTCGAAAGAGGAAAAGAAGACGGCATCCTTCTTTTAAGGCTGAAACGTGGCCACCCACGGGGAACCGGACACTACGCCCGTTTTAGCCGACCGGGGGAAGACGGAAGTCGGGGTCGTGGCGAGAAACCGGGAAGGGAGAGTAATTTCAACGCGTCTGTAATTGTCTACTTCCTTCGTTCTAGAAAGAAACGCTCGGAATTTTTCCCAATTCGACGTCGGTCCCTGGGTAGGACGGGGAAAGAGGGAGAAATTCGTCCGACGGGGGAGGGTGGAGAATCGGGCCCTTCGTTTAATCCAATGTTTACGCACAGTGCCACGAGGAAAGGGTTTTCATTTTACCCGTCGGCAGGGGACGGTAAGGTCGATTTCTCTTCCGGTCCTCCGCATTTTTTCCGAACTTAGGAGTGCTTCGACGGCGGGATCCGGTTCCGTCCTTTCCTTTTCTCGAGCGGCTTTCGGGAAGCCGGGCCAATTTTGAGGATTTTAGGGGCGAAGATCGAAAAGTTTGGATAATTTCCGGCTTTCCGTTTACTGGAAGAACGGAGTGGCTACGAATTGCGCGCCGGGTTAGGGAGAGGAGCGCGAAAGACCGCCGGAATCGGGTAAAGGGGAGCATTTTACCGTTAAACTTGGGCGGCGAGTGAAGATTTACGCCGGCTTTTACCTCCACTCGGCGGAGAGAGGGGTGGCGCTTTGCTGGCCGGTCCGAAACAAGAAGACGGCCGGACCGGTCTCTTTTTTTGCCTCCCGACGTCCGGTAAATATATGCGCCAGGCAATTTTGTCCTTTCGTCATTAAAGCGGGCCTCGTCTTTCTGTCACCCCGGATCCGGCCGGAGTTAACGGTATTTCGTTTCTCGGATTTCTTCGCTTTTTAAGTGTCGGCGGCAGAAGGCTCCGTTCGACCGATTCCCCCGCGGCAAATTTCTCCCGGCGGATTTCTTTGGGAGACTCCGGCCAATTACGGGAGCGGACCAGCGGCCAGAAGGGGAAGAACCGTCATTCTTTCCTCGCTTCCCGGCGCCGTATTAACCCGGTTATCGCGACGACGCCATTCCGGTGGCTCCCGCTGCGGGCAAATGGAAAAGGCGGAGGAAGGAGACGGAGCCAGGCGTTAAGGCGGGTAGAAAGGAAAAAGCTGCTTATTACTTATAATTACGCGGGATTCCCCTCGTCTCCCGCCGTATTTGCCGGGAGTCAAAAAATTAGGCGATTAAAGTAAAAATGTAATTGCGTTACCGCCTTTAGCTGAACCCTCGGCCCCTTCCGGGTGGCGGCGCCTAAACCTTATTTGACGCAATTTTCCTTTAAACCGGAAATGGCCCGGCGGTATTTTGGGCTCTCTTCTTAAAATGGCGCATAAAAAAAGAAAAAGTTATCACCCGACCCGAAAGGAAACGAACCGATTTATAAACGGTTAATTTTCTGTTTTCTCTAATTCTCCGTTTCGTCTAAAATGAAGCGCCGAAAGTAATTAAAAATGGTAAACGAAATGTTTTGGGGAATTTTCACACGTCAGTCGGTTCTTTAAAAGTCGAGGTATGGAATTTTGTGAAAGCCACGCGTGGCTTAGAGTTAGAAACATTTTGATACTTTGGATTACGTAAGAGTTCGATTGGTCAACGTCCGAGGAAAAAATTTGTTTTCATACGGAGAGCGAGTGCCTGGCATTGTCTCGAATTAAATTATAGGCCTAAATGATATTTTCAATATTCCGAGGTATGGAATTTCATACCTGCGGAAAAGCCAGGTATGGAGTCTTCCATACCTTCCATAGTGGAAACGACACCGCCGCTTATAAGTATTAATAACTTGTAAACGAAATCGTAACTTTTCGTTCACCGTCGTATTCGTCGACTTTTAACCAGCGTAAAGAAAAACAAAATGAAAATGTATAAACTGAATATTAAATCGGCAGTAACGTATTTTCATATTTTACGTCGCCCAGTTTTAAAGTTTTACCAGTAAAAAAAGAAGAAAACAGAAAGAAAAATCTAACTTTAAAACAAAGATAAAAACCGACGTAAGGCAAAAAAAAGAAAGAATTGCCGGTAGAAATAATTACGGTACTTAAAGAAATTGTATTTATAATCGTGGCCGATTAATTTCGGTGCCGAGAGAGGCAAAAAATACGTCCGACGCGCACTTCCCGTCATAAAAAATAACAGAGTTTACCGGGAGCGCAGCTTCCTTCCCGGAAACTATCATATAACTTTATTAAACGATACGCTACGGACGTAAAGTGGACAATCTTCGCGCAACGCCATGCCGCCTCCTTCCTACTTATAAAAAGTTCCTTAAAATACGAAACAATAAATTCTCTCGTACCGACAACTATCGTTCAACCCCCGTCCTTCCCAGTCGGTCCGCGCTACTTTTCTTCCCCCGCGGTGGGCCAAAGAAAGGATAAAGCGGTAACGCCGACGGCCGAACAACCGGTCTTCCCACCTTGGGTCGTCCAACTGGCGGGCCGGACCCACCCTTCCTATTTAAACCTAACCGCCGTAACGCGTCGTTTCGTCCTTAAAACCTTTCCGCCTATTAGCCGCAAAATAATCCGCGCCCCCTTCGTCGTCGTACGCCGTCGAGTCCGGTAAAGTTTATAGAGGCCGGAGAACGATTAAAATGTCGACGGTGGAATCGAACCAAATAATTAATTTGAAAAAGAGATAAGCGTCGATACTAAGAACAATAGACGACGGTCGTCGCTCTTTCGTCCCCACCGTCCAAAGCCGACCGTTAAATCCCAATCCTCCTATTACGAGGAAATGAAGAAAATCCCGATATCTTTCCGAAATTCGCACTCGGGTGAAAAAGCGGTAGGAAAAAATAACCAAGGTCCTCTCCCTTTCCACCTCGATAAATTGGCAATTAATCTTAATAAAACCCGCGCCGTGGCATTGGCTAATGGCAATTTTACATCGGCTAATAAACTTGTATACCGTACCAGAAAATACCGGTTTATTGCCGGTAATTCCGTAGATACGTAATTTTTTAAACCGGAATACGCGCGTGCAGCACTTACGCGCCAAATTTACTCGATTAGTTAATTAATTACCAGGGGAATGTACAAAAGGTTATTTGGCATTTAAAGAAGTCAAAAACTTATTACTATCATTGGGACGGAAATATTAATAATACAACTCTAAAACCTTTACGATACAGCCAAATTTATTATCCCAATTCAAACGTTTTCGGACATCTTTAATGTCCTTTTTCAAGAACAAAGTACCATCGTACTAACTGCAATCGAATACTGGCTAATTTGTATAAACGAAAACTGCGTTTTGCAACGCGTATTTACAAAATTCTTATTGCGCAAACTCGTGCATTTGTTTACCGTTAAAACTACATGCCATAAAATAAAATACAAACCACTACGATAATCAACCATATCTATATGCACATAACATATTTAAACGTGCCCAATAAATGCCATCTTGCTGAAATTATTACTTCGCTCCGTTATATTAGGCTTGATCTCCACGCTTCCGATATTCTACTTGCTTCTCTAAAGTTAATTGCTGTTCCTTCTTGATTACTTTTACAAATATGCCACGCTTCTGCGTATTTTAGATGCCGTTTTTCATGAATTTTTTGTATTAACTTTGCCTTATCCCACTCAGCTGTGACGTCTGTAGGGTCTGCTAGGATGTATGTCGCTAGCGCTGTGGCTGGCTGCTCATTCCTTATGTTTCTTTTATGCTCTATAATTCTTTCTTTGAGCGATCTTCTTGTAGCCCCAATATAAAATAGCTCTTTTTGCCGTCTTGTATCTGTTATTGGAATTCTGTATACCCCGGGAAGAAGGTTACCGTCTATCTCGTCTTTGTCTGTTCTTAACATTTGATACACTGTTGAATTCCTTTTGTAAATTATTTTCTTGTTCGTTGCTGCTCCGATTCTTTTATATATATTATTTAACTGAGCTCTGTATTCTAATATAGTAAACTCTTCTCTATTAACTCTTACGTTCCTCTCTTTGCTTTCTGTTGTTGTTTTGTTGGATGTTTTGTTGGTTAGAGGCTTAATGTTAACCCCAAATTGCCTTGCTATATTTTTGATGTAATGCAGCTCTTCATTTCTGTCTTGCATTTTGCTACAGTGCGTTTGAGCTCTTGCTATGAGCGCCCTAAATGCTGCGAGTTTATATGCTGCTGGGTCGTGTGAATTCCAGGGTATAAATAATGGGTTGTATGTAGGTTTTCTGTAAATCTTTGTAATTATATCTCCTCTATCTAATTGTATTGTTAAATCCAGAAAATGCACCGTTTTGTCGTTCTCTTGTTCCAGCTCAATTTCTAGGCCGAATTTGTTGTCGTTGATGTCTTTAATAAATTGCTGTAATTTTGGTTTTTCCTTCCATACGATAAAAACATCGTCTACATACCTTGCATATATCACGATTTGCATTTCATACTTTGGTATGATGGTGTTCTCTAATGTTCTCAAAACCATTTCGCATAACGTACTACGTTATGCGAAATGGTTTTGCGTTCCAAATGGTTATGCGTTCCAAAACGAAGTTTTCGTTTATACAAATTAGCCAGTATTCGATTGCAGTTAGTAAGAATTTTTTAAATGCGCGTTCCAAAACGCAGTTATCGTTTATGCAAATTAGCCAGTATTCGATTGCAGTTAGTACGATGGTACTTTGTTCTTGAAAAAGGGCATTAAAGATGTCCGAAAACGTTTGAATTGGGATAATAAATTTGGCTGTATCGTAAAGGTTTTAGAGTTGTATTATTTGATATATACAGTCTACGAAGAAAGGAAATATTAATATTTATCGTATGGTTTCTTCGGATTCGCTTCCCATTATTTACCACGGCCCACCCTACCTACGACTATCGAGTTATAAAACGTCTTCGTTTGGCGCGAAAGCGTATAAGGTTTCTACGTTGTCCCGAATAATTGTTCGGTAAGAGACTGGCATTTTGCCCGAATGCTCGGCTGCGGTCGGGAGAGTGTGCGACGTTCGTACCGTACTCTACCTGGCGGTGGAAATAGACCGGTTACTCGGCCGTAGCCTCTTTTTACCTTCGAGTTTAAAATGGACCGGCGGATCTAACGCCGCGCCCAAAGGCCAGGAAGGAAGAAACGAGGATTTGGGAAGAGAATTAAGCGGGCCAGCCATTAACACCGATCTTCTTCGTAGGACACTTCTCTCGTTCCATCCGCTGGTATGTCGTCCGTTTCGCAACACCGGCGGGAAGTGGCGATACTAGGGTTTTTCCAACGGGATCCCGGCTGTTTTTTAACCCCGGAAATCCCGTGAATTTCTTTAAAATTCACTTTTTTCTTATTTTGTGTTAAAGTTGAGGAAATTTTGCAAATAGAAAGTGTAATTATAAATTCATAAACTGTCAGAATACCTTCGTATTTATTAATTTTAAGCCCGCTTATTAGTTTTTTTTTTTAAATTTTTGCTTATTGTGGCACGTCGTAGATTGTCGATACGTAGCCTACGAATATCAAACCTTAATAAATTTTTCTATTTGCGAAAATTTCTACCTAACTCCAAAGTAAATTTTTATAGCCTACATATTTTACACAGCGTTATTAATACAGTATTATTATTTTGAAGTTTAAAAATGAAAAATAATTATATGCCTCGATTTTAAGATTTATTTTATATCTTTAGAATAATTAATTATATTCCGGGATCCAGGGAAACAGTTGGCTTTTTCCCCAAATCCCGGGCCCAGCAAAATCCGGGAAACGAGAAATCCTAAGCGTTAGAGAGAGAAAATATCGTCGGCTGGCTCGACGCTTCTTCAATTAGTTACGAAGTAGTTAAGAATTGATGACGACGATAAAAATACCGACACGTCAGTATCTTCTTTGTCTCCGTTTCGATAGAGACAAAGAGAAGTGGCGATTTCTACATTCTTTAAACTTTTGTGTTTCGTAACTCGACAACCTCCCGTTTTTCTTTTTACTTTCTGCTTCGACACGATTCCAATTACACTCGTTATTGTTTTCTGGCAATTCCAGCCGTCCGATATACGAAATACGCGTATAATTTTTAGGGACCGACGAAAACCGGTACTCGGCGTATTAAATGCCCATACCGATAAATCCGATAAACCGCCTTAGAAGCGGACTGCCGGTGTTTACCACCTCCGAAAATTTTGTAGTTGCGTATCCCGGGAAGCTCTAACGGTTCGATTATTTCGGTATTCCACTGCATCCAGCCACGTGGGTAAAAGCCGACGATTAGAGGAGGTGGGAGAAACCGGAGACCGAAAGGGACGAGACGGATTACTTTTAAACGAATTTCTCGGCAATAATTAAATAGGCGAAAGAGACGGAAGGAAAGGCGACGATGGACGACGAGTGGAAAAGGCAATAACTAGACGCGGGATTTCGTAGCCGTAAAAATGGAAAATTGGAAGAGAAATCTCTATTGATTAGACATTACAAAGAATCAAGAAATAACGAACGAACCTCCGCAAAAGCTTTACTGTACAGGTTGCTTTTACTTTCGTTTCCTAATTTGTATTTTTCACTCCGCCGCAGCACTGGGCAAATAAATTTATCGTACGTATGGAAAAATAGCCAAGAACTTTCCGTTTATTCTCGCCAGATTATAGGAACGGATTTGACCAATACGGATTAAGACGGAAGAGATTTGGCCCAGCCGGCGACGTTATACGGAACGGGAACGGCGATAAACTTAAAGCCAAATATGGCTTTTTACCTAAAAACTATTCCGATTCGTCGGTGAGGTGCCAGGCGGGAATGAATGGCAGCCTCAATAAAAGTATTAATAATAATATAACTGGCGCCGCGAATTTTACTCGAGTAGTTTACTCGGCAATTAAAGCGCAAATTGGATCATCGTTTACATCAGAAGATATTCGTTATACGTTTTTTGCAGTTTCCCCGGTGCAAATAAAAGCGTCGAAAATCGATATTTGTCCCGTACCACCCACGTCGCTCGAAGTGGCCGATATCTCTTCTCCTCTCGTCTTCTCACCGACACGCTTTAAAAAATCTCGTGTATTTTCAGATCTGTCCAATTTTTCACGTATTTATTTACCAGATGATTTTTTTAACACTGTCGCGTATTAAAAGATACTATACTTTCTTAATGAAACGAATTATTTACTTTTGATTTGATTCCCGATACAGGTAACCCCCGTATAACACGGCACTTCTTTAGCACGGATTCGCTCTAACACGGTTCGAGAATTGGTACCACCCCCGTATAGCACGGTACTCTTATAGCACGGATTCACTCTGACACGGTTCGAGAATTGGGTAAAACCCTCGTACAACATGAATTGTAATAAATTTTTACATACTTAAGTAATAATATTCACGAAAATTATTATTTTAAGTATGTAAATTTTCTCTTCTCGCCTTCTGTCGATACACATGATCCTTCTCGAAACTTGTTTTCGGGTTGCCAGATCTCGACGCTTCTGCTTCTGATGTTGCCAGATCTTTTTCCCTTATTCCATACTTGCTTTATTCTTCATAAGTGCTTAGCACCATATGAGGAAGTTTATAAAGATCTTTCAACTAAAAGCAAGCAATCTAAAATTGCATACATTTTGCAAAAGGTAAAGCATGGATCTGAAGATAATGCAGAAAAATGCTCAGAGGATAAGGATAACTTGCCGTTTTCTTTTTGGCAAGTTATCCTCGGTTAATAGTGCTTTTAGTGATAACGAAGAAAACATTATTTAATTTATATTAATATGTATTACTTAAATATCTTTATTAATTAATTAAAGTTATTTTTATCTTAATTATGAAAATATAATAGCATGTTTTTTTAATTTTTGGAACCTAACCCTCCTTTTCGTACTAGTTCTTTGTTTCGCATAACACGGATTCGCATAACACGACAATTTTTTGGAACGTAACTACCGTGTTATACGGGGGTTACCTGTATTTAACTCTTCTCCCTAGCAAACGTTTCGATTTTCAAAAACAATACCGCTAGTTTTATTTAAATCAGTGTTTCTCAACGGAGGCGATATCGCCCCCCGTATGAACGTTTTTCCATCTTGAGGGGGCGATTAGTAACAATTTATATTTTAGGGGGGCGAAAAACAATTTTTTGGGCGATATAGTAAAACATTATATTAAGAATAATTAGAAATTTTATTCGTTATATCGTGCAATAATTAAACAAATAACATTATACTCGGAGACGTAGCTAGGCAGGTGCAACGGGTGCGCCCGCGCTGGGCCCACTCGGAAGGAGGGCCCAGACTGCTGTTCGCGAGAAATTATATTTTTAAATTTAAAATTTTTCCGCCTTTCTACAGCGCGGTTTGGCCATTACATTTCGCCTTACTTAGACCCTAGATGTCCGCTCACCGGTGTTCCCAACTGTGGCGACTTTCAGAGGGACGTAGCGAGGTAGCGGAAACCTCAGACAAGTCAGCCAAAAGTAGCGACTTTTAAGATTTTTTAATTTATTTTTTGAGAAATTTAAATTTATGTTTATAGTTTTCAAATTTACAGATTTTTCTCTACTTTATAGAGCTTTCTGGCAACTACTAATATTATTACCATATACAAAAGTGTATTTCTAGACTTTTCTACAGCGTGCGGAGCTAGAAATCTGTAAAGGTAACATTTTGTAACAAAAATAAATCTGCCCGAGGATTTTTTAAAACTAAATTAAAAACGGTAACTCCCGAATAAAATCTTAGTCTCGAGGTTCTAAAAGGCGTGCAGAAATTCTGACATCAATTTTTGCTTTATAGTTGTACGCGTACGTGGTGTATACCCGAACGGCAGATTAAGCGGTAAGCGAACTATGCGGGCGCTTAGGGTCCCGAAGGGGCTCCCGCAGTCTTTAAAATGCTACTGAAAAAAGGAATTGCGAAAACGAAGAAAATAGAAATAGTCCAAAAAAAAAAAACGCTTCGATATATATAGATACATGGAAGTAATAAATGATATAGCTTTATGGCCAACAATATTAACGGATGCTATTATTGATCATATCCTTAAACAAATAAATAAAACCAAATAAATTATGGGGCCTAAATGCAAATCCTTGCACGGGACACAGGAATGGCTGGTTACGGCTCTGATTATACTAGTCACTAGTCTGTTGGATGCGGTACGAATTTGGCGTTAGCCTCGGCCCTGGGCATCGGAATTTTGAAGCGAAGGAGGCGATAGTACGTAACGGTTTTATTGAAGGGGGCGATACTACGTTGAAGAGGCGACGATTCGTTAGAGGTTGATAAACACTGATGTAAATGGACAATTTGCGAGGATTATGGCAACAGAGTAAACGACGGAGAGCGATATCGTGTCGGTTACGTAGCCCAACTGCCGGTTATTACCCGAGTCGTCCGCGTACGTTGCCACAAAGTAGTTGCCACACCATTAATATATTATACGGTACAAAGTCGGCCCCGACGGAGAAACTCCTGTGGTTACTTTAAAGTAATTAGAAATCATTATTTATCTTTGTAAGTTTT